GTCTGCTAATTTTAATATCTAGCCATACCAGTTGTAGTTGTAGTTTTACTTCGCAAATTAAATATATTTACACTGATTCTATATTCCAGTACATCGGTTGAGAAGGAATAGTTCCGTACCCCTGTATCTGTGCATCCATCGTGGGCAGATTTTCTTTTATATGCAATTAATGGCCAAACACATTAACGAATTCGGAAAAAACATAAAAAGATTATATTTCGAAAATTAATGAAACATACCATTATTTTTTTATCTATTATTATCATTTTATTTTATTATTATTATTTTATTATATTTTTTTGCCCCGCTATCGACTTATCGTTGCGCGCGGGAAGATGAAACAGAGAGAGCGGGAAAAAAATTGTTTGAACCGCCCAGCCAAAACTGACCATTGACGCCTTGACAAATACACTAATCACCCAACGGGCATTTAAGCAACAGTCAGCGAAATGAGATAGATTACAGGGCGAGCTAATGGACCGTGTTAAAATAATTAATTAACGTTTTCTTCACTCGGCTGCGCGGGAGACAAGGAGGCATGTGGCTTGGGTGACGCGGTTATCGTTACTGTTGGTCGCCGTGTCCTTGGGGAGAGATACAAAGGCGAGGCTGAAAGGCGTTTACAATGGTAGAACTACTGGTCTTACCACCGCTCATTTTACTTTACTACTACTACTACTGCCACGATACTACTACTACTACTGCTGCTGCTACTGCTGCTGCTGCTACTGCTACTACTCCTACTACTACTACTACTACTACTACTACTACTACTACTACTACTACTACTACTACTACTACTGCTGCTACTACACTACTACTGCTACTACTACTATACTACTGCTACTACTACTACTCTACTACTACTGCTACTACTACTACTACTACTACTACTACTACTACTACTTGCTGCTACTACTACTACTACGCAACTACTACTACTCCTACTAATGCTACTACTACTACTATTTCTACTGGTACTGTTACTACTTCAACTACCAACATTAATACAACTAATGATAATGATAATATCAATAATGATAATGGTTATGATAACAATAACGGTAACAATATTGACGACGATAATGACTATAATGATATATATATTTTTTTACATCACTGTACTAATATAACTGTTACTATTTTTGATAGGACTAGAAGCAGCAATAAAATAATTTCAGAAACACGAATTTTAACTCGAACACAAAGTAATTACAGTTCAGAAATTATTATTTAACCACATTAAACTTCCGTTTTTTAATTATTTCGTTTCATTCCTCTGACAGATTTACGACAGTTCAGCAGGTGGCTTCTCTTCTTTATGATCCCGAACTAATTATAAAGCATTCAGTCTCATTCTGGTCACGGGCTATTACACACCAGGTGATCGAATCCTTTTGGCACGTCCGCTCGGCGAGAAAGAAATGAGCATCGAACATGGATCCCAGTTTCGTTTCTCTCCATAGAAAACTTATTGTTGGGAAGAGTTGACATGGGGAAGGTTAGATCAGTAGCAACTCGAGGAGGTGTCGTCATGGCGTCTGTATCGATGGTTGTTCAATGAGAAGATAACCGTTGAAATCATTATTTTCCATCCTTTTTGAAAATTGAAAAGACCAAAATGATCGACCATATTCACAATGCATCCGCAACTTTTGTGGCGTCATCAGAATAAACCCCATGTGCTTTTTTTTCCAAAAATTTAATCAGACGCCATGACCATTACCTCGAGTTGCTACTGATCTAGCCTTCCCCGAGTTTTTTTTTCCACTTTATAGTTTTTTTTTTTTTTTTTTTTTTTTTTTTTACTTTATAGTTTTTTTTTTTTTACTGATCTAGCCTTCCCCGAGTTTATCTTTTATTACTATATAGATTATAGTAAACGTATTACTGTTGTCATTATTATTGCTTTTGAGTTTATGGGTGAATAGATTGATCAATAAGTCGTGAGTTTGTCTTTGTTTTCAGTGTGACATCGACCATAACTAGTAGAAGATAAGTTTATTGAAATGTGATAACATTTTCAAAATCATTCTGGACTGTTGCCTCACCTCTCAGTAAACCCTTCTTGTTTGAAATTAGTTTTTGTCCCAGTCTCAGTTTGGTACAATGTTTTCTCATTCCAACATGAACGAGGTATGTAAGGTAGGCAGGTAGACACCGCTAGGTAGACAGGTAGACACAAGTAGGCAGGCAAACACAGCTAGGTAGGCAGATATAGCTGAGTAGGCAGGTAGAGACAAGTAGACAGGCAGACACAGCTATTTAGGCACACAAAGCTAGGTAGGCAGGTAGAGACAAGTAGACAGGCAGACACAACTAGATAGGCAGGTAGACACAGCTACGTAGGAAGGCAGGACAAGTAGACAGGCAGACACAACTAGATAGGCAGGTAGACACAGCTAGGTAGGCAGGTAGAGACAAGTAGGCAGGCAGACACAGTAGGCAGGTAGACACAGCTATGTAGGAAGGCAGGTAGAGACAAGTAGACAGGCAGACACAGCTAGGTAGGCAGGTAGACACAGCTATGTAGGCAGGTAGACACCGCTATGTAGGCAGGTAGACACCGCTATGTAGGCAGAGACAAGTAGACAGGCAGACACAGCTAGGTAGACAGGCAGACACAGCTAGGTAGACAGACACAACTAGATAGATAGGCAGGTAGACACAGCTACGTAGGAAGGCAGGTAGGCAGGTAGAGACAAGTAGACAGGCAGACACAGCTAGGTAGGCAGGTAGAGACAAGTAGGCAGGTAGACACAGCTAGGTAGGCAGGTAGACACAGCTTGTAGGTAGGTAAAGACAAGTAGACAGGCAGACACAGCTATGGTAGGAAGGCAGGTAGGCAGGTAGACACAGCTTGGTAGGCTGGTAGAGACAAGTAGACAGGCAGACACAGCTAGGTAGGCAGGTAGACACAGCTACGTAGGAAGGCAGGTAGGCAGGTAGATGCAGCTTGGTAGGCAGGTAGACAGGCTGACACAGAGGGTAGGCAGGTAGACACAGCTAGGTCGTCAGGTAGAGACAAGTAGGCAGGCAGACACAGCTAGGTAGACAGGCTGACACAGAGGGTAGGCACAACTATGTTGGCAGGCCGACACGGCTAGGTAGGCAGGTAGACACAGCTAGGTAGACAGGCAGACACAGAGGGTAGGCAGGTAGACAGGCAGACAGGAAAGCAGAGACAGGCAGGCATGTATGCAGGCAGGCACACAGACAGACAACACACAGGCAGGTAGGTAGACAGACAGATCGGCAGGTAGGCTATAAACAGACAGAGACAGGCAGGCAGAAGGATAGGCAGAGACAGGCAGGCAGGCAAGCAGGCAAGTAGGCAGAGACAGACAGAGACAGGCAGGGAGGTAGAGACAGACAGAGGTAGGTAAGTAGGTAACTTGAGACAGGCAAGCAGGCAAGTAGGCAGTAGAGACAGACAGAGGTAGGTAAGTAGGTAACTAGAGACAGGCAGGCAGGCAAGTAGGTAAGTAGAGATAGGCAGGCAGGCAGACACAGACAGGTAAATAGGCTGACATAGACGGGCAGGCAGACAAGTAGGCAGAGACAGATACACAGAGGTGGGCAGGTAGAGACAGACAGAGAATGGCAGGCAAGTAGGTACGTAGAGATAGGCAGGCAGACAGACAGGTAGGCAGGCAGGCATGTAGGCAGACAAAGAGACAGGCTGGTGGGTAGAGACAGACCAAGACAGGCAGGAAAGTAGGCAGGCAGACAGAGACAGACAGACAGGCATGTAGACACGTAAAGGAAGACAGAGAGGCAGGCAGGCAGAGATAAGTAGACACATAGGCAAGGAGTGAAACAGGTAAGCATGTAGGCAGACAGACACAGACAGACAGGCAGGTAGGCAGACAGAAACAGGCAGGTAGGAGGGTAGGCAGAGACAGGCAGGTAGAGACAAGTAAACAGGCAGAGAGAGATAGACAGGCAGACACAGGCAGGCAGCCAGGGACAGGCAAGCAGGTAAGTAGGCAGGCAGACAGAGACGGACAGACAGACAGGCAGGTAAAAGCAGACAGAGATAAGCAGGCACATAGGCAGGCAATGAGACAGGTAAACATGTAAGCAGACAGACTGGCAGGCAGGAGGTAGGCAGGTAGAGACAAATAAGCAGCAGACACAGGCAGGCAGGCAGGAAGAGACAGGCAGGCACATAGGCAGGTAGTGACAGACAGAGACAGGCAGGCAAGTAGGTAGGTAGAGATAAGCAGGCAGGCAGACACAGACTGGTATATAAGCAGACAGAGACAGAGACAAATAGGAAGCCAGACATGCGCATAGGTAGGCAGATAGATATTTAGGCAAAAATGACTGGTAGGCAGGCAGACAAAGGCAGGTAGAGACAGGATCAGATAAATAGGTGAATATATTGATATTATAATAATGATAGCACAAATTATATCACTCCTCTTTTCAAAACTTTATCTTTTCCCTTTAATATATTCAATATTTTATATTTGTATTCAAAGCAATGAAATAAGTTACATAAAAGGGTAGCTCATCAATATACTTAAAATGCAAGGCCGTCCTCCTAAATGTTATCAATAAAATGCTCGCTTAAGTACATCACTAACTCTGTAAGCCCCTTATGTAAATAAATGTCTAAATAAATACAAATTCAATTTTCTATTTATTACAAAACTCATTACATACACAATGTTATCTAGTAGAATTTTATGTAACAATTTCCTAAATTTTAACAATGAAAGAAGTACAAATTTTATTACCTCAGTTCTTCAACTTCTGAATTTGTATATGTTTTTTCTTAAGCTGGACGTTGTCACATTTCATCATAAAAAACATCATTGTATAGCCCAAAATGCCAACAATGTCTGATCTTACTAAAGTGTTTTAGTAACAAAATCCAGCTCTACAGTATCCATAATGGGTACATAAATATTTCTAACCATACACAAATAATCTTGTATCTTGTATAAAGAGAAGAAAAAAAATATCAACAATAACTAATAACACAATATAAAGAAAATAAAATAAAATAAAAAAATAAAAAAATCAACAAATAAACACTATTCATTATTTTCACTTCTGTCAAAGTAATACTTTTCAATCCATTTTCATCCATCTTTAGCTGTTCAAATCACATCAAAGTACAGTGCAATATACATATATCTATACATCTACAACAAAAGTCTCCACGAGTTCAGTACCATAGTTGCATCAAAACCATGGAAATGAGAAGGTCTTCACAGAGCAAGAATCTATTTGACAGTTCAACAACAATGTCGGTCCTTTAAATGTAATCCCCCCAAAAAGGACTGTTCACGACAAGACCTACACTGCTATCCAGTAACAAGTGTGTTATCTTGTATCTAATCCTGAAGCAGATGGACTCTATGTCAAATACACCTTGTCCCATGATAACAAATTTTCCCATCTTATGACACTTCCAGCTCTGTTAACTCCACAGCCTGATGGTGGTATCTGCTCCAGATGACAGGACGAACGGCTCGTAGGGATGCCAAGCGATGTCCAATACACACAGATTTTTCAGGAACCAGTGACCAGCCAACTCCTTCACAGGTACGATGAGAGGATCTGTTATCCAGTCACTGGAGAAAAAGCAGGAATCAATTACTTTTAGCAATACAATCACAGTCATCATCAAAAATTTGTATGCAGACCCCATATGCAAGAGTGCTTCTGACAAGGTTTCATGTAATATAATTATTTAATTTTCTTTCCAGTTTAAAATCTGTTTGTAGCTCATATTCTTGATAAAGAGCTTCAGACAAAAAAGTAAAAATTCTGGATTTATTTCTCATCAAGTACCGTTCTTGCTTGAAAGTATATATCAAAATAATTCTTTTAAAAAAGTACAAGCAAGGAAACCACTTTATCATTAGGAAAAATCTCCTTTACAATTTTACAAAATTATTTGTTTTAATAATATAGGCAAAAACATTCATGAACCAATGATGATGACAATGATAATGAAGACAGCAATGAAGAAAAATAAAATTTAAAAATGAAAATAACAATATTCATGATTTTCCCCCCAACCATGAATAAATTTACAACAAAAGAAATAATGCCTTACTTGTACACCATTCCATGAGACACAATAATTCTGCCATCATCTGACGCAGAGGCGAAGAGTGGATATTTGCGGTGGAATGCAACTTTACGGACAGCTTCCTTGTGGTACTTCAAGTTATGAGGCTTTCTAGTACACTCCATTTCAAACCTGTAATAAAAAAATAATAATTCATGTAATTCAATTACTTATTCATAAATCAGTTCATTAAATAAAACCACTCGTATCCTTAGAGATTTACAAAAGATTCACTTCCAATGACACTTTGCTTACAGAAAATATCAAGTGGTCAACACAATTAATATAAAGGGAAGACTAAAGAAAATAGGTGGTTGGTTTATACCTCAAACACTGAGATGAGTCTGACTACCATATCATCTATAGTTGGTTTTCCCTATTTCACCCTCTCAGACAAGGACTAAATTTATGCGATTCTATTTCTTGGCTAGGCCTAAAGGCACAGAGTAAAATTTTACTTTTGTCATGTCATTGAGATCACATTTCTACTTATAAAAGATAATCCCCTATTTGTACACCATTTACTTCTATTTTCTATATAAATATATGAAAACACAAGAGCTGGATAAACTGAATAAAAAAAAGAAAAAGAAAAAAGATCTGTCCATATCCTTCACAAAGTGGGTATTTCAAGTCAGCCCATGATAATCCTCTTGTTTTTTTATGTCATTCAGTAAAATCATAAACAATTTTCTGCATAAGCAAAAATAATATAAATATATATGAATATATAAAATCATACACTCCCATCATGCTAGCTCGAAATTCTTTTAACCACAAGCAGCCGGGCATGGCATGTACATACATGCCATTGTCCATTGTGTGTGTTGAATTTAGTAATTGCTTTTACATATAGAAGGCTCCACAAGTACTAAGTCACCAATGAGCCAATTATGCAAACTACCTGTCTCACCTGTTTACCCTTTTCCTTGATTTTTGATATTTTCTAATATCATTACTGCTGTTAGTAATGTTAGTAACAATATAGTAATTATAATGTTTATAACAAAAATAAAAGTGGCATTATTGATAGCATTACTTAAAAAAATGTCATTTTCCCACTTTTTCAAGGAAAAGTGAGGTCGCAAGATCTACTAATTGACTCCTTTGTGCAGAAACATTTAACCAAGCATTGCCAAAGGGAATGCACCATTTTCCCGTTGGCACTGGGTTAAACAAATGTTTATATATAACATAAAAAGAATAAAGGAACGCAACTGCAAATCACAAATCACATCCCCATTCAAGTATATTCTCATCCTTTTACACATCCATATGTATGAAAGGTTTTAAGGCCTTTTAGAATGGTTGTAGTTTTAACCTCCTTGCATATTTTGACATGATTCATATCAAAATTATAAAAATAATGACATTAATCAATGAACACAACAAATGCCCTGGTGGGAAATATAAATGTATTCCCATAAGTACCAGACAGTGAATTCTCGCCCCATCAGCATTGGATTAAATTGATAATATTCTGAAAAATCCTTACATTGTTCTATGTCAGGTTTCTGTTCACTTAACATCCTGAAAAATCTTCTAACTCCTGGCTAGTGAGTTCAAAGCCCTATTTAGCTATTTTCTGCTGACACACTGCAAGCTTGACTTCATTCCGTAACTATTAACGAGACCCTTCTTAATTTCAGTATGATTTTATGTATGGTCCTTAAAAAGCTAAAAACATATATAAATTACAAATTAATAAAACTAAAAATAAAATTAATCAAATTTTTATCAAATTCATTTACTAGAAAAGCCTACTATTTGGCCTTTGTTTAGTAGTTCCATATCTTATTCTAAACTAGAAGCTCATCTGCACACACATTCCAATATTAAATAGCTAGCTACAATCAGAGAAGAAAGAAAGATAAAGAAAAGCAAGAATATAGAAGAAAAATAACGAAAACTTACCAGCTGACTTTACGGTCAAAGGTACCTATGAGGAAGTGCTCACCACCTGGATGTACACTGATAGAGGAGACCCAGCGGCTGTTGGCTCTGATATTCTTCAACATGGTCTGTTTCTGAAGGTTGTACACTCGAACGTGAGTCTGGGTCTGGAATAGGATATGGTGTGTTAGTGTACTTGTTAGTGCAAAATTAACCATATGCCGACGGGAGGGCATGTACATACGTGCTATGCCCACCATGTGTTTAATTTAGTAATTGTTTTTAAATATATAGATAACTCCACAAGTACTAGGTCACCAATGAGCCAGTTACAAGAAGTACCTGCCTCACCTGTCTACCCTTTTCCTTGATTTTTTATATTTTCTAGTATTCAATACATTTTCCCAGTGGTATTGTCTCAAGCCTTTACTCAAGTGAATTATTTCTACCAATGCACCTACACAATCACAATCTCCAACCAAAAAATATATATGAGCACACGCCTTGACAGATGACATCAATTCACTCTTTCCTCTTACATAAATATCCTAGACGTAGAGACATTTACAAGTACAAACTGTTATTTTCCCTCCATCCAACCCCTTAAATGCAAGCACACCCACAACTCACCACAACATAGAGGAAGGGCAACTTGGGATGGAACTCGGCCACCTCAATTCGAGCTTTGATGGCTGTGAAGGGGATCTGTGATCTCCAGCGGCTAAGCTGATGAATTAGGATTGACCTATTCATACCATGGGGTATCACCGTGACAAAATAATCACCCTGTTTATGCCACACAATCTGGAAGTTAACAATAATATTAGCATTAAAGTAAAATTAAAAAGCAACAGTTATGAGCACTGCCAGTCTTTTATCATCCATAATATTTTTTTCTGTACACTGTCTATCAAATGTTCTTTGACCAAGCAGATTAAAGTTTCATGAACCTTTGGGTATGTAGTAAAGATGACCTCTTGATTCATAAATAAAGAAAGGGATTCCCTCCCTGTACCTTTAAACTCCTGAGAGACCTCATAATTCATAAATAACTAACAGTACTCTTGACTTGTAACACCTCCAAGCTCAACACCTAATATACTCCAAAGAGTAAGAAGTAAGAAAGCCACTGACACAATGACACCAAGTCGATTCCATTGCAGCTGACTGATCAATTTAAATTTAAGAGCATACTGAAATGGGAAAGGCTATCATACAGTCACTATCAGCTTTTAATTAGTCTACTAGATGAAAATCTGTCAATACAAACACAAGCTGTCTTAAAATTCTAGCAAAGTTATATACTCAAACTGGTTAGTTCACAATGAAGCTTACAAAGTTCCTGACAATCTCAGGATAAAAGTATAAGACAGGGACTAATAAATTTAGACAATACAGAATTGCTCTACATACATAATCAGTTTTTCAAGTACCATATGCACAGGATTTCTTTAGAAGTGCCAAAGGAGAAGGGGGAATATCATTAATAACTAAGTTTCCTTACATACTAAATAACTCACCTGTTTCACATCCTTGAAATGCTCTAAAACTACTCTTATTCCATTACTCCACTCAGTTGCATCTGGTTTCCTCCAAGTCACAGCAGTCCTCACACGTTCAAACTGCTTTCCAACTGAAAAGAAAAATTGATATTTTAAAAACCTTATTCCATACTCTAAATCAATTTCAATAAAGGATAACAAGATGTACAGACTATCTCGACAAATATCAGCAATAGCAAAGAAATATCTTCAACAAGAACAGACCAAGCTAAACTTACTTTGATCATCTCCCTTATCAGGCTCCACCCTGAAAACAGCATTAGTCTGCCTGACCACAACCCGATCTGTGAGGTAGGTCTCGGGATTCAAGCAGAAAACTTTGTTCCCTACAACCACTGCCAGCAGGAACAATTTGGGGCTTGGATTCCAGGCCACCCACTTAATAATACCTTGGAAATTGAATGTTCTGAGGCAACGTCCAGTGCTAATTTCCCAAACTGTGGATAAAGGAAACAAACATTAAAACATGTTAAAGTTTGCATCATTAACATAAAAGTAAAGGTGAAACTGTGGATCCATTGGGGTGGGGTTATGCAAACCAGATGAAAATGAAGTAGTAGTCAAATTTTCTCTTATGAGTTCTACACTGGCACAAATGAAATACAAGTGCGGCAAATGACAAGAAATGAAGCATAAACAACAAGAATAAATTACAGTTGCTAGAGTTGTTAAAAAAGAGCAAATGTCTTACATTTACCAAAATTTACAGCAGTATGCTTAACCAAATTTACTTCATATCCCATCAGTATGCTAAGACAGAATGGTGATTCCCCATTTGTACTATACACAACTGTGAGTCACCTTTGTGTAAATGACAATCCCACCACATCACAGGAGCAAACTGTGACAGGCTAAAAGGCAATCCACAAGTTTCAAATAGAAACTAAGTAGGAATGTTAATTTTTCATATATACATTTACAAATCACCTCAATATCAAGTCATGACAAGAGTTTCTGAAGAAAACATGCTTTTGTAGATTGTTGTTACATCTTTATCAACATAATTTCTCTGATGAAATTTTAGGGCAACAAGCTATGCAGTAAAACATGCAGGCTGTTTATGTTTAAATAGACTATATTACTCTTTTTCAAAATATATATGTGTGTGTGTGTGTGTGTGTGTGTGTGTGTGTGTGTGTGTGTGTGTGTGTGTGTGTGTGTGTGTGTGTGTGTGTGTGTGTGTGTGTGTGTGTGTGTGTGTGTGTGTGTGTGTGTGTGTGTGTGTGTGTGTGTGTGTGTGTGTGTGTGTGTGTGTGTGTGTGTGTGTGTGCTGAGTCTTATCACAAAATCTACAGCATAAACATCAAAGTCCTTATATGAGAGTGTATATGTAAGCATGACATTGATGTCCTATGCTTTTTACCCTATTATTACCAAATGTGAAACATCAACAATAACAACATTCTTAGCTTACATCAAACAGCTAAATCTACAAAAATGAAATCACTATGAACGGTTTCCTCTTTTCGTATTTCAAATCACCCGCGTTCCTGTGTTTCAGAGCCGTGTCAGGGATGAGGGAGGTAGTTGGGATGGTGATCGTGTTAGTGTCAAATTCATGGGGATATCAACCATGGTAGGATTTATGAGCAAATGTAGTAAGGGAAGAATGATATTTCTCTTTTCAGCTAATTGTTTGGGGGGGTCATTGTACATGTCATACATTATAAGTATTCTGATCTTATACTCACTATATTCAAACACGTTATAAAGAGATAGGAAACAATGGCAGAAGACCTTTGTATGAGTGGGTCCAGGAGACAAGGGAGTAGAAAAGATGAGGGGAAATGGATGTGTTTTTGGGACTGGATAGGCCATACATTATGAGAATTCTTATTTTACATTTCCCGTGTTCATTCCCTTGTCAAAAAAGGCTCCATAAGGTGTTTTGTATGATTGGATAAGGGGGGTGAGACTGGGGTGATGTTTCTGGAAGAAACAACAGGCCAATCTTTAAGAGGTTATGCTCTCTCTAGTCTCCTTGTACTGGGCATAAAAAGAAAATTATAACTAAATCATTTGTCCTTAGAGTCTCTGAATAGAAGCCATATCAGATAAAAGGATAAAACCTTTACACCTCCATTTATCCTGTTGCCATCAAACAATAACTTGGTCAATGACAAACCCATCCCACACCTGATAAAGAAGAGAGAAAATGGGGTGACACTCACTTTTAACTGTGTGATCATCTGAACCAGAAGCCAGGAACTTTCCTAGTGGATGAATTGATATGGTTCTGACAACAGACTGGTGGCCAACAAATCGCAATGCTTCTCTCGTCGGGAAAGGTCGCAGGTCTTTGGGTTTGGGCATACGCGGCAACAAGTCCTGGAAGAGAAGTGGAAATGTAAACACCCAGTATAGCAATGGCTTGATGAGGTGAGCTAAAACATATGAACATTATGTTTGTTGCATGCATAGTGAAGGCATAGTCATCACAGTCTACTTTACTCCACGATTCAAACATTTTTTCAATATCCTACACCTGGCTACATTCCCATCATCGACATAAAAGTACCCATTCTGACAGCTCTAACAGCATTGTGCAACAAGAGAAAGAGTGATAAAAGCTGGGAAGGTACAGGGGAAGGGAATGGAAGGAAGAAGAAAAGCAGCTGGAATGAAAAAAAGAAATGTACTTCTATGGCACATTACTTACATCTGCTTTATATAAAGGTTTCTTTATCAACTTGCGCGGGGCTAAGTACAAGTCGAGGCATCTTTCATATCTATCCTGTGAAAAAATAAAACAAAAAAACATTATTTCTTTATTCATACAGTATAATCATAAATAATGACTGATATACCATTTCAAAATCTCCAAAAGAACCAAATATCATACAACAACCTGCTGTCACTTACTTTCACGAAATTGTAAAACTGTGGAATCTTACGGACACTTGTGAACCTCCTGGCATTGTATTCTTTAATGTATTCTAAAGGTGCGCGATATGAATCCTCATGCCCTGAAAAACAATTATCAGGTTATTTATATGCCACTGTATGGGACAGTCTAGTGTACATCAGCTTAACATCATTTCTTTAATACACACAGTCTACCAATGAACTCATAATGCAAATAATGATGATCTGCTATAACTTTAGAAATCATCTGCAAATCTTTACAAGATCCTAAAAGACAAACAAGGTCACCCAACAGAAGAAAAAGGATTCATTAACACACACACATACATCTGTAGATAGACCCATTTACATGCCTGTATATTCAAACATACAAACAGTAGAAGTCCCTAAAGTAAATGAAAATGCCATGTAAACAGACAACAAAGCACCAAAAGTTAAAAAACCGCTAATCCACCTTTTAAACTTCATGAAGAGTGAAGTCAAACATAAAAGAACTGGTAAATTTCAATATGTAGTCACAATAAAAAAAATTACGAATAAAACATGACAGTAAATGGCCTTAATTTTCCAAATCAAACCAAAGATGATGTTTTATATGATAAATAAATATTTTTACTATATGCTTTATTCCTTTGTGTGTGTCTCATTTGCATGTTTTTGGTACTAAACATAGAGTAACTGCAATGATTTTTCTTAGATTGACACTCCTTCTGTGATATGTATTTGATATATGAACTTTTTGGCCTGCCACCGACTACTGGGATATGAAAAATAAGAGGAATGAAATATACAATACAAGATCTAGATATATCAGCTAGCTGAAGGTTTTGCAGTTCTATGGGGCATAGCAGCTAGGTAAAGATGAAAAAAACATCCCCACACACACACAAACACAAACACAAAATAAAATAATCCTGCTGCAGGGTAAACCACAGCCCTACCTGGTAAAGGCATCTTTGGTGTCTCCAACCGGTGCGTTAGCCTTCTAATCTGGTCGTCTCCCTTGGTACCCCATAGGTCATAAAACCGTTTTTTCTTCTGCTTGGTCTTATATGTGACCATTCCCTTCTTGATCAACTCTGCTCTTCTCGCCACATATGCAGCCTCTTTCTACAAATGATAAATACAAACATTGAAAACCATTAGAATATTACCTCCATTCCAAAATATTTGAGGGCATTTTTTAGCATAATCACAGCAGCCTTGAGTATTTGTGAAGAAAAAATATGACCAGTGGTGGTGGATGACAGTGGTGAGGGTAGATGATGATGCCAAAGAACTTAGAAATCATCACTGTCATTATGATAAAAGTGACAATGATGATTTGAACCACCAAAGCTTATTTATAAAAAATAAAAATAATAATAATAAAATAAAATTAAAATAAACAACTACAAAAAAAGTGCAAGCAAAAATATACCTTGCTCGGAATGAAGGACCTCTTGTGTTCCGGCCGGCCAGAGAGTGGCATGTCCATAACCTCATGAGTAAAGTGGTCAATCCATTTGCTGTACATATTATACTTGGCATCTGGGACTTTGTTTGACAGCACACGCCTCACAATATCTAAGTCTGCGTCACTCAGTCGCACCTCCTGGCCAGTCTGTTTGTCATATACTGTTCGCCTGAAATGCAATAGGGATGAAGTAAGCAAAAGGATTTAACTAGCATTAGAATATTGTTGAAGACAAAAACAGGGGGAAGGCAAGAAGGAAGCATATAATTAGGTATATATACATATATAGTGTATAAATAAAAACAAATATATGAATCCCACCCCCCCCCACACACACACTGTAGCTATATATGTATGTATGTATGTACTTAATTATGTACTCATAGTGAATGGGAGAGTGCAGAAATAAAGAACACATTTAAACAATCATATATGGAACATCAGATTTTTTGCAGAGAGCAAAAGTAAGCCCTTGATAGCTTGCAAAAGTCAGTGAATACATGTTTTATGTGATACCACAACTTTTACTCTTTGCACTTCAGCAATGGCTACCAAACCTCTATCAAGCATATTCTAGCAAGATAAAGCATGTGATTTAATATGAAGTAATGAACCAGTCCAAGCTATATCTTGTCAAAATAAAAATAATAGAGGTTTGTCTTCCTGGTCCACAGCATGAAGCAGAGAGGTCATAGCATCATTACCTGTGCTCGTTTTCAGGACAACTACTCAAACATTTACTGCCGAGACTCACCCATGATCTGGATCCTCTAACATCCTTAAGAACTGATCGAGCTTGTCTCCTTTATCGGGCTTGATGATAGGATTCCCATCCAAATCGTATCCCATGTGTGGGTACTCATCATACCAGTTCATTGGGATGTTTCCTGAGTGAAAAAGAAGAGAGAATATTATCTCTTGAAATAATATTTTCCATTCAATATATATACACACTTTTTACAGCAAAATTTGTCATTACAAACTATAAGAAACAACTGCAATATCTTTTTGTAATGCATTAATAAAATATGAAAAATTTCATAATTCCTTAACAAGCTACTTCATATGCTCTCTTCTTACCAATTGTGTTCCTTAGATCTTCTTCATCTGAGGAGTCCTCTTCATATTCATTGTACACTGCTTTCTCTACTGCCTCCTCCTCCTCCTTCTCCTCCTTTTTCTTCAATGCATTTGTACCACTGGTGCTTGCCTCACTGTTATTTTCTCCCTCTGCTAAACTCCTAATGCGAGCTAAAACTTTTTTGACAGATGTTCTTTTCTTTAGTTCCTTGTCCACCACCTTCACCTCCCCAGCCATATCTGACTCGACACCACTATCTTTCCCATTCTTGCTGGTGTTAGAACCCTCTTCCCACTCCCTTTCCTCACTCTCGCTCTCTGTCTCCCACTCCCCATCCTCACTGTCAATATCGCTTCCTTCTTCGGCCGATTCATATTCATCAGATGACATATCATGCCAGTTTTCCTCATCAGAATCCTCCTCCTCTGAATCTTCTCGTCCTCTCCTCTGCTGCTTCCATTTCAATCTTCCTACCTGCGTTCTTTGACTTTGGCGCCCCTTTGGAACCTGTCGCCTTTTGATTCACCTGTTTACTTTTCCCCCTCTCTGCACTCTTGTCATCTGGTTCATCATCTGACTCGTCCTCTGAATCATCCTCTGGGATCTCTGTTTCCTCTTCCCCTTCACTGATGCTGTATTCGGAGTCTGAATTTCCTTCATCATCAAACTGTTTTGTCATGAAATCATCCTGAAAGAGAAAGAGATACAACAATAACATAAGATTATGTATCATACGGAGATTGCCAAAGTCAATACATTTTACTCTTATTGACAAAATACTGGCATTCTAAATCACATATGTTATTCAAATTTCAACTGTTAGATAAAAAGACCTTCATAACCCTTTGTACTAGGATGACATGACATACACACCATGTCCACTGTGATTTTAGTTTATAAATTGTGCATACACAAATATGGTTTCACAAGAACTGAATCACCAAAGAGACAATTATCAGTCATACCTATCTTATTTATCTTCCTTGTTTACTCTTTTTCTTGATCTTTGGAAAGATACTTTTTGACTTATTACAAAACTATAATAACAATCAATATTAACAGCAATGGAAAAAAAAGTTTTCCTAAAAAATCAAGGAATGGAGAAAATAGATGAGGTCATATCAGCCCTACTAATTGACTCCTTGTAAATGAGAGCACATGTGGAACCATCGTTTCCAACAAAATTCACAAAAATATATTGGACAGTACATGTAGCTGACAGGAAAGGGTTAAAATCACATTAAGCCTACTCCTCTGCTATAGGCTACTTCAAACAAAACATGTTTACCAGATACCTTTTTCATAATCATATTAGCTGTGTTCTACCCAAATCACATGTGCTTTACATGGCACATATTCTACCAGAAAAGGCATCAATGAGAATAGCTTCACAATGCAAGAGATGTATCTGACTGGATTCAAGTATATCATTGTCAGAAAAAACATGCACCTCTTGCTCTGTAAAGGCATTCCTTCTCATTAATAACTTTTTCTACATGAGTTATGACCATTTATTTATTTAACAATAAATTGCAAAGGAGGTCCACTAGCTCTACCTTGCCAGAATGCACACAATTTGTACAGCATTGTCTAGGTGCAAAAGGTGCAAAAACCAGTGACAGACATATGCACATGCCTGTGGCAGTTGTACGTGTGATATGAAGATCGTGAACACAGCATCAAAGGGCTGTCTTATAATTTTCTTATCAAACATATTTAGTGAAAACAAAATATAAATGTTCATAAGACTGCTCAGCAGAAAATCAAGTCAAGATAATGATAAAAAAACACTGAGACAAAAAAAAAAAAAAAAAAAAAAAAAAAAAAAAAAAAAAAAACCTACAGAAAGATAATGCCACAATCTTACAAAAGTCAGAAAATCTATGATAATACAGCTGCCTATACTGTCATGGTAGTTTCCATTTCACATAGCTGTATGGATCACGGTTAACTCACTGATCCATGAAATAATCTGCTTAAGCAAGGAATATCATTCAAAATTAAGAAAATAAGTAGCAAGTAATGCCGTGCAGAGAGTAAGTCCACAGTAATTGAGTGGGGGTCTGGGGTACGGCTCATGATTGGGAAATACAGTGCTTGGGTGGGGGTGGGAGTGCCCTGGGTTAGGAAGGATTTTGGTTCATATAGCAATGATATTGGATACCAAGAGTGGCTGGGGTAATGGTAACTTAGTATCAGCAGGATTGCATTCACTTTGTAAAGAGTTCCCAATACTTTCCTTTACATCATTTCCAACAGAAAACAACAACAGATTTATGTATGTTACAATGTGAATAATTAAAATGGAATAATAATTGCAAGGTTGGATGGCTGAGTGAAGCAAAAAATTACCTTGTCGTAACCTCTGTGCTTTGTCCTTAACCAAAAACAAACATAAATGCACTATATATCTTTTAACAAGATGTTATCATCACTCTGCACAAGAGATGATGGTATAAGTTACTGAAAGCAATGTGCAGAGATAGAGAGAAATGGACAATGCCATCTTAAAGAGCATAAGAAATAGAGTCAGCAACAATATAGTTTAAGCTGCAGCAGCCTCATATTTACCATGAAATGACAAAAAATATTTGCAGCATATCACTGCTTCCAGACAAAGTCCACAACACACTCACATAGTCAGAGTTCTTAATGTCTGTTTTCTATAAGATGGTATGAACTGCTAATAAAAGGGGGTAAAGGGGGGATTGCCCTCCCTGTCTAGGGAATAAATATTAAGGTAGAAAAGCTTTAGTTGGGTGTTTGGGTTCGTATGATACCCTGGTTTAAGGTGACAATTATCGAGAAGATAACTGCAATCAGTTACAGTAACAACTAAAATATTCATAAGGCATTTGATGCCAATCTGGCTAACATCCCTCCATATACAATCAAGTGACAGTGAACTTGGTAAACATTCGTGGCAATCTATCATCAAGCGAGAAACATATCCATGCTCTACCCTGACAAAGTATCCATACAAGTAGGGGATGTTTCAAGGCCTTTGAGCCAGTATGGAAAGTACGGCACTTTTTGACGAGACCTCAGGAGTGCACAAAAAAAAATTTAATTGTGCAGTGTGCAATGGTTACCAAGTATACACTTCAAGAGTGCACATCCTGAAACTTTTCAGATAAAATGCTTGAAAGTCTTTTAATCTATTAGTAAATTCCTCGTTCCATATCGATGTTACATAATCATTTTGACCGATGACTACCGTTGATTGCAGTTCGGCCCATTCATGATTAAAAATCTGGTTAGGAATATCTTTTAACAACGTCTCATATATTAGACACCCGTTGCTAATGGGTTAAGCTAAAGTGTCAACCGAAAACTTGTTCATCAATCTTTCAAAGCCCTGGAATCAACTTTGACTGCCTCTTTCTAAATAGCTAAGTGACAAAGAAATAAAAATTGCACAATACATCTAGTTTTACTATTACTATGGCAGTTGATAAGTTGTGTTATGACTTAACAACGCATAAAACATAAACCAAAGCTTCTAGACTAATGCATGCCAGGCATTACTAGTCAGAGCGAGAAACTGTTTTTAAGAGAACACAAAATATTGTTCTCAGCAGTTTCTCAGTTTCTATGACTATTTCTGTTATAACTTTTGTTGTTAGTGAGAAATACTAATATATCCTTCCTTGCCATATGATCTATTACCCCTGTATTAACGTTAGAGAGATACGGTACTCCCAAGTCTAGAAAATTCCATACTTATCCTTTCTTTAAAATCCTTTGTGACGTACATTAAATGCCCAACCTTAGATGAATGTATCACATCGAGAATCTCAAACAAATTATCAAAATTACAATATATAATACTTCGCCTTACGGTAAAAAGATCTATCTATATCAACATACAGCTCTCCTACTGGGATATATTTTCTCCTATTTACGTCCACATATACTTACATTCCCAATTTCATCTTCGAAAACTTCGTCTTTGACAGTGGGGAGCTTTCTCTTCTTTCCACTCATCCTTAACTGAAATAATAACTACAAAAATAGAGGTTTCGTAGAGTCGTCTCACTCCACGCGTTTCAACACATGCGTGCTCAATGTTTGCTACGGGGCTACGGCGGCATTCGTTATTTTCTCTCGTGGGGTAAGTAAAAAATAGGAGAAGTGAATTTTGGTATTTTGGGTGATAACTTATATTCATTGTTTTATGTGTTTGATTGTGAATCGAGGTTGGTGGTTTAATATTAAATATTGTGTCTGTACTAAAATTTCTTAAAGTCGTATCCCCACTAACTATGAATAAGAGAGAACGTTTAAATAGGGTAAACTAAATTAAACAATAAACCTTTTATTTGTTTATACCTTATTACTTTTTTGCCATATAGACCAGGTAACGATGAACTCTGATATCAGCTAAAACTATGGTTTGATTATTTTCCCATTTGATTATCATCAAAGCTTTCGTATGCCATGCATATCAATACTGCAATGTGGCAATTGTATGAGATATATGGTGATGTACATAACGTACAGTTACATTTGTCATGATTATCAACGCTTTCACATCTGTCTTTGTTATCATTGTTATCTTTATTATCGTTATTACTATTGCTATCATCATTACAGCCATTATTAATATCATTATCATCATTATTGCAAGTATTCTCATTCTCATTATAATCATTATGATTATCACCATTACTATGAATATCATATTTCATATAATAATATATTATACATTTTACATAATTTCTATAATTACCATATTTTACATCATTAATATCATTATCATATTTCATATCATTATTATGATATCAATAGTATCATCTACATTACATTTTTTATTAGTTTATTCGCACATTACGCCTGCTATACTATATTTACATATGAGTTCCAGTGCTTCGTTTTACTGTGAAAAATTATCGTTACGCTTAAATCACGTTCCATGTGAATACGAAGTTGAAGTCGCCGCTTTTTTCTGATGCAAAATGAGGTGATAATTGACAGCATGAATATTAAGAAATGACACACATACACACACAGACACAGACACAAACACACACACACACTCACACATATAGA